TGTAGTAACTGGCCTCCAGGGGACACCTAGGAACTTCAACAACATATAAGGAATTCAGCCACTGGCTAACAGAGGGATGACCCACAAAGGAGTCAGTTTCACCCAACAATTCTCTACTTTAGTCTGAATCTGTGATGTAAAGACTTGGTCCCACAATAAAGGGGGGAGAGGAAAACCAATGAGTGTGTTGAATTTCGGCCAATAGACTGTCGTTATGCGCTGAACAGAGGGTGGACTTTGTAGAAGAGATAAGTGACTCTAGAACAGTTGATCCTCCACAAAGGAGTCAGATTCACCCAACAAATCTCTTCCTTAGTCTTAAATCTGTGATGCAAAGACTTGGTCCCACAAAAAAGAGGAAAAGGAAATGCAGTGAGTGTGTCAAGTGTTTCGGCCACTGGACTGTCTTTATACGCTGAACAGAGAGTGGACTTTGTACAAGAGATTGGTGACTACCAGATGATCCTCCACAAAGGAGTCAGATTCACCCAACAAATCTCTTCCTTAGTCTTAAATCTGTGATGCAAAGACTTGGTCCCACAAAAAAGAGGAAAAGGAAATGCAGTGAGTGTGTCAAGTGTTTCGGCTACTGGACTGTCTTTATACGCTGAACAGAGAGTGGACTTTGTACAAGAGATTGGTGACAAAGAGCTGACCCACAAAGGAGTCAGATTGTCACTAACAAAACTCTTCCTTAATCTCAAATCTGTGATGCAAAGACTTGGTCCCACAAAAAAGAGGAAAAGGAAATGCAGTGAGTGTGTCAAGTGTTTCGGCCACTGGACTGTCTTTATACGCTGAACAGAGAGTGGACTTTGTACAAGAGATTGGTGACAAAGAGCTGACCCACAAAAGAGTCAGACTGTTACCATCAAAACTTTTTCTTAGTCTTAAATCTGTGATGCAAAGACTTGGTTCCACAAAAAAGAGGAAAAGGAAATGCAGTGAGTGTGTCAAGTGTTTCGGCGACTGGACTGTCTTTATACGCTGAACAGAGAGTGGACTTTGTACAAGAGATTGGTGACAAAGAGCTGACCCACAAAAGAGTCAGACTGTTACCATCAAAACTCTTCCTTAGTCTTAAATCTGTGATGCAAAGACTTGGTTCCGCAAAAAAGAGGAAAAGGAAATGCAGTGAGTATGTCAAGTGTTTCGGCCACTGGACTGTCTTATACGCTGAACAGAGAGTGGACTTTGTAAAAGAGATTGGTGACAAAGAGCTGACCCACAAAGGGGTCATACTGTCACCAACAAAACTCTTCCTTAGTCTCAAATCTGTGATGCAAAGACTTGGTCCCACAAAAAAGAGGAAAAGGAAATGCAGTGAGTGTGTCAAGTGTTTCGGCTACTGGACTGTCTTTATACGCTGAACAGAGAGTGGACTTTGTACAAGAGATTGGTGACAAAGAGCTGACCCACAAAGGAGTCAGACTGTCACCAACAAAACTCTTCCTTAGTCTTAAATCTGTGATGCAAAGACTTGGTCCCACAAAAAAGAGGAAAAGGAAATGCAGTGAGTGTGTCAAGTGTTTCGGCCACTGGACTGTCTTTATACGCTGAACAGAGAGTGGACTTTGCACAGGAGATTGAGAGGATATGAATGACAAGAGGCGATCAGTCTTTTACAGGAAAATAATATTTTGCACCACCGGTAGTTTTTCGGGATGTCTAAGCCTGAGATGTTAATGGACGGACAAGTTATAACGTAACAGTTTAGCCCATTTCGCATAAATAAGCCGAGCATGGTACAGTTCCAAGGAATATCTGCTAGCTTTCTATAGACTTATAGATCTAACGTTGGATATTTTTGCAATATGCAAGAAAGTTTTTCTCTAAGCTGACCTTTTCACCAACATGCTTTAAACGAAACCTGCGCTATCCTCGGGTTTAGTGTCATACCTGGTTTAAAGAATATTTTTTCCCGACCCATTCAAACCATCTACACGCTTTGTTCATAACTGGGAATATGAGGGCTGCAGAAAGACTGTGTCGTCGCTTTATGCAAGCTATTTCACCAAATTTAGTTAACTGTCTCTGTCTCTGCTATGAACGAAATTGCTTTCAACTTTAAGAACGATGGTAGCCAATCAGTTTTCTTAAAAACAAAATTATGCTCCTTTCCCGAATTAAGAAAACTGTGATAAAGCTGCAAATTGTTAAACAATAAAAAATAGAACTATATCTAATCTGAAATATTGTAAGGGTTTCCTTATATTGGTTATGGGAAAAAGGAATGGAAATATTATATTACTTTAAGCCAGTCGATACAAAAAATTATAATAACCAGGTTGATTATTTCTTATTCCTTTTGGCGGTCTCATCTAAGCACAATTTCTTTGACCTTTTTCTTATTGTGGTTGTGAATTTGGCATGGAAGCAGATGTTCCGTTTCTACGGTAATTAGAACTTTTTGTGGTATTTTGTGATAAGCTATGCTTTTAATTAATTCAAATTGCTAGTTAAGAAAGAGAGTACAAAAAATCTTTTTACACTTTTGATTATTCTCTATGTCAAATTCAGGATAAAAGAATATTTCTTAAATTTTAGTTTAACACCTCTTTCTTTAAGGTGATTCTGAGTGTAAACAGCTTGTGCCTCTCTATCTTTCGCGCTGAATTTTAAATTAGATAATACCACGTAGTATTTTCGGAGGCGGTACTCGTGAACGCCCCTTCTACTCCGAATTTTCTGTTTATTTTGTTGTTATGTAACAATCTTCCAAGGCTATTTTCTCTTTGTATACCTTTTCCAGTGTAATTCTAATTCTGCCAATAGGTTAATTAAAATTTTTATGTTATCAATCTTGTTTCTGTTCTGGCCGATCTTAATCGTAAATGTAAGAAATTTAAGGTATAAAATGGTTTTATAACTGCGTAAACAACTCGAAGACGCACACTTAGTATGCAGGGTCTGTCGTACGTAACTTAACGTGATTCGCTGGTTGAGATAGAATGATGACGATAAAAGAAGATTGACAGCTTAGTAGTGTCACCTTTAGTGCCACCTTTATAATCTGGTGCACAGCATTTTTCAATCAGATAGAGCAGAATAGAGCAGAGTTGAGTTGTGTTGAAAGGAATAAGGTGAACTGTATTGAGTAAGGTCAAGACTGGACTAGTCCCCGAAAGAAGAAAATTTTACTAGGAGTTCAAGCCAGAAAATTAAAGAATTCAACCGAGTGTCAGAGAGGCATAAGCTGTTTACACTTAGAATCACCTTAAAGAAAGAGGTGTTAAAGGTGTTAAACTAAAATTTAAGAAATATTCCTTGATCGTGAATTTGACATAGAATATGTTCACAATAAGTAAAAGTTCAAAGAAATTGTACTCAAATGAGAACTCCAAAAGGAATAAGAAATAATCAACCTGGTTATTATAATTTTTTGCATCGAATGGCTTAAAGTAATATAATATTTCCATTCCTTTTTCTCATCACCAATATAAGGAAACCCTTGCAATATTTTAGATTAAATATAGTTCTATTTTTATTGTTTAACAAAATAGTTACTTCGTCTTTTTACAAAGAAACAAATCCTTTACACAAACGTGTTTTGTTTTGGTAGGTTTGAACTGAAAACAGCTAAAATTTTCATCTTTAATTTCATCCTTAATTTTAAGTCTGTATCCTACATGTCTCGGTTGATTGAAAAGATAAATAAGAATAAGATGCAAAGCGACACGCATCCTTTAAACTGTTTATTTGACCTGACAGAAGAAAGTGTTTGTTTATCCAAAGCGCCAAACCTTCATCACAGGCGACTGATAAAAGTTGCAAGTTCAATCGTACGGTCATGTGGGACTTGTACCGTAGCTTTTTAGAAGGCTTTGATTTTGGATTCTTCATTTTGGAAAGATTATCAACAGAAGTTCGTAAAATCATGGTCATTTTGATCTCAGATCCGTTGTGGACTCCGTTGTTTAATTATTGTTATAGCTGTTAGTTATATCGTCCCGCATTTTAGTTTTCACTCTCTTTGTACTAAAACTTGTATCATCCTTTTTATTAAGGTTAAAGAGAGGAGATGTTATTTTTAAAGTGTGAGAACTGGGATGATCTCTGATAGAATGCCTTTGCTGACTTGAAAACTAACGACAGAAAAAGTAAGTCCAGATGGTGCTTATTGTTTTATTACATTAATTTTAAAAACACTGGTGAGCCTTGCAATCTGATTGGCTCTCATCGGTACGATTTATTCAAGAGTTCCACCATCTTTGGCTTTAAATCGTATCTATTTAACAGCCAATGAGAAAGCTTTACACACAAAAACCGATCAGATTTTTAGATTCCTAAAGAGTAACCTACCAACTGCATAAAATACAGTACAAATAACTCGCGAATAGACTACAAATATCCTGCGATACTGTACGGTTATTTAGACAGTTGGTTATTTTGTGCTGTAAAATAACTTGGTTAACCAGTTGGCTGCGCGCACTACGCTTAACTATCCGCTTTACTTTTCCCGCTTTATGAGAAATGAGCACAAAGACAGCAGAAAAAAAAAAGCGGTCAGACGTTTTGGTGTGTGGTATCGCTGAGTATTTTTACGAGTTGTGCCGTATTTTGACGAGCCTGCATCTTTGGAATCTTTTTTTTTAAAACTAGCTTAGTACGAGGTCAATAAAATATATATTTATTTTGGCTGAAAAATGACGAATTCCGACCCAAGACAAATTTCAATATTGGTGAGAAGGCCTCAAACAATACCCAAATTGTGTTTGTATTGTTGTCATACTGTGTATAATAACGTTGTAATGTAGCTCATTCAATTTTGTTTATTCATCTTTTCACAGATTTCATGAAACATGACCACAAAAAGAAAAAAAAATTGTCATCCTTGGAAGGAAAGAAAAAGTGGGGTCGATCCGCCACCGTCCCCCACCACACCCGCCTCTTATAGAGAGATTTTTAAGTATTGGGTATAAGTTGTCTACCTTGTGGTAAAAACACCTATCTAATACGCAGGTGTATTATGACAGAAGTTTAGTTATTCAAAACGCATGCGTTTGAAATGAATGCTATTACCACAAGGTAGAGAACTTTTCAAATACTTATTAAAACTGGTAAATAGTGGTGGGTGTGGTGGGGGATGGAGGACGGGTACAATTTGTCTCCTTCATCCCTAGTCATCCCTGTATTTTGTCATATTCAGAAGCTCGGATAGTAAGAATTAGCTACTAACCAGCTTCACGGTATTATTACAATATTAGAGTCCCAGAAACAACAACATCAAAGCTATCAACGTAAAGTACAAGTCGAGAAAGTGAAATATCCTTCAATGTTTCCTTCCTTTCCACATTAATACTCTCTCGGCCTTTCTTTCTTGTTTCCTTGCAATCTGAATGAAAGAGAAGAAATACGAGTCAGCAGCTTTCGAAATTGCCTCTCTATCGCACCACAGGGTAATAGAAGCTCTTTCTTGGTGTCTTTATTGCAGTACCTTTCCCTGTTGTGACAAACAGCGTATTCCTTTCCTTTTTCTCCAAACGTCTGTGTTCAGGACTTGTTTGGGCTTCCTTGGTGTAAAACCATCTTCATAATACTAAAAGTAAAATAAAATAAATATATTTTTGACGATGAATCGTCAAACTACACACAATCAAAACACTGATTCATATCGCACGGAAAGTAAAAACCTCGATCAAAGGGTTTTTTAATCAGCGTTAAAAGAAAACCAGATCTTTTATTAACTAACTGAGAGGTTATCGCTCTGACGAAGCATTTCTACAGCATTTTCATTTCGCATCTTGTGTTTTGCACGTGAAATTCTGAAATGGCCCCTTTAATCTGAACTGTGTCAAGCAAATCATTCAGTTATCATTGACGTACAACATCAAACATATTGGGTAAAGTAAGGCCCTCGGAAAGTCACCTGTGGGATTATCTGATTTAAATTTGTTCATGCGGGTAAAAAACCCCTCATAAACACTACGCGCGAAGAGTGCGAAAAAAAAGAAAAAAAAAGGGTAGGCCTGCTAACTGTGTGCACTAGCTGCTGCTGAGAAAATTAAAAAAAATAAATCAACAAACCTTTGGTAGGACGGTATACCAAGATGAAAACAGCAGAAAGATGAAATTGCATAACCTTGAATGCCAAAAGGTTAGATATCTTTTTACCCTTCCTTCAAACTAAAAGATCGTAGTTCGTTTTTTCTATTGAATTCTAGGGCCTGAGTCTACCTCTTACAAGTTGTAAAGTCAAAACTTTCCTGCTTTTTTGGTACACCATGTGACCAATTGGCAAATACTCCCAGCAATGTTACCGTGGGTATGTGATACACGGGTAGGACTAAATTGACAGCGTCTCATTGTAAAAGGCAAAATCTACATTTGAAGAATTTGGTTTTTCTTAGGGAAGTAAATAAGACCCAGAATTTCTAACCTGTCAGCAGAACATCCACATGTCATCTTTAACTTTCAATTGTAGTTGACGTCACTAAACATTCCTTTTTTCCTTCGGTCATAAAAGAAAACAGTGCCAGCCTGCAAAAAAACAGAATTAAAGAAAAACAGACTTAAACCACGACGGTAACGTTTCAGTACTTTTCCCTTCTTCTTACATCTCCATTACTTACATGAAGATAACCTCAACAACATTTTCTGATTGACTTTATAGGAACCCTTAAAGTCCCATGAGTGACCAAGATAGAATTTCTCTTTACAATATCAATACAATATCAAGCAGACAAGTAATAGGAATAAAGAAAAGTACCCCTTGCGAGCTCTAGATTATTAATTCATCCAATACCAAATTCTTGGGACTAACATCATAACAATCGTATGGCAGAATGAAATCTTAAGAGAGGAAATATTAACAGACGATTGTCTCGAAACTTATCCAAGTTGTATTAATTCAAGCTCCCTATCAGTTCTCCCATCCACCTTTATTAATTAATATCCAAGTTATCCACCAATCAGACAGAAACAATCAAACAATATATACCTCATTCGATGGTCTGACATATAATACGCGCGGATATTTCGCGAGTTGCGTGGTATTTTTCCGAGCCCTATGGGGGCTATTATTATTCTACTATTATTTAATTTTCTAGTCTTTTGGCTTCTGGTTTTTGAAACTGAGTATGGTCTTATCTGATCAACTGTCGCATACCGTTACTGGTGCGTGAAAGAAGGAAAAAAACACAAAAGAAACTATCTAAGTGTTCTTCATGACCGAAAAAATTCTCGTGGAAAAATCATGTCTAAAAAAGGGAAGAGAAATCAGAGAGCGCTCGGATCGCTTCTGTCCGTATATTTGCCCTGTTCTACAACGTAATACCCTGGCATATTTTGTGCGCTCCATTGCCATAATATAATAAAATGAAGTTATGATGGAATAATCAAAGGAATTACATGAGTTAAGAACCTAGTAGTTTAATAAGTAATTCACTCAAATAAACGGACAGTCAGTCAGTCAGCCTATCTATCAGTCAGTAAGTCCATCACACAGTCAGTCGATTTGGTCAGTCACTCCACCAGTTAGTCGATAGGGAGTTTAAGAAAACCACGACGCCACCGCCACCGCCACCGCCACCGCCACCGGCAACGAGAACTTCACTTAACAAATGGTTTATAAGAAAACCACGCAAAACAACAACGCCAAACTTTCCGTTGTCTCGATAACGTGAACGACGACGGCGTGCTTTTCAAATCTATATCTCTAATTTAAGGCTGTGCTCTATAATCAGTTTCGAGATACTTTTGCAATGAGAAACAAACTAAATGCCTTTTAAGTGCCGCAAGATTCGTAGATAAAATATAAGTTCATTTTTTAACAAACGTCCACGGCGTCGCCGTCGTCGTTTCTTAAACTCTATAATCATTTAATCTGACATAGATCAGTCAGTTGATCAATCACAGAATAAGTCAGCCAGTCTGCAGTCTCGCCATTCAGCCAGCAGTCAGTCCAACTGTCAGTTGACGAGTCAGTCATCCAGTCAATGTGTCGGTCCTTCAGTCTACCATCCAGTCCAAAAGTTCCCTGATCATCCCTGTTTTACTAGATCACCCGATTTGTCATACAGTCATAGAGTTCACCAGTTGGTCAACTGAGTAGTCAGTCCATCAGTCATTCAATTCATTCTAGCCATATGGTCAGACAGTCAGTTGGTCAGCAAGTCAGTCCCTTAGTAAGTCAGTCAGTCAGTCAGTCAATGAGCCAGTCACATAGATAGTAAATCAGTCATTCAGTTCTTCAATCCAACAATCTGTAAATCAGTGAGTTATTCAGTCAGCATTTAAGTTCATTAGTCAATCACTGGTTGCTCAATCCATCACTTAGTCATTTCACAGATTGGTCCATCATTAGTCAGTCACTCACTCAATCACTTATTCAGCAACCCAGTCTATGAGTCAGTGAAACAGGCATTGTGTCATTCCATCCAGAAGAAACTCGGCTAATTGCCCAGCTAATTACCTACTAGTTGGTCAGTCAGTCCATCCCTTAGTCAGGCCATTATCACCCACAGAGTTATTCTACCTGCTGGTCACTAAGTCATCAGTCAGTTGACTGGTCAGTCTATCAGAGAGTCAGTAGGTCAGTTATTCAGTCAGCCATTCATTTAAATAGTTGGCAATTGGTCAGTCTTACTTTGACAGTCCCTCAATACATTTTGTAAGACAATACATCAGTCAGTCAACCAGTCAGTCAGTAAGTCAATCAGCTATTTTGTTGGCCAGTCTTTTTAAAGTTGGTTCAAATATCAATGAGTTGGTCCATGGCTTAATCAGTCTCACAGAACATCAATCAGCCAGTCAGTCAGTCAGTTAATCAATCCGTAAGTTAATCCATTGGTCAGTTAATCAATCAGTCAGTAAGCCACAAATTCTCATAGTCTGTCTGCTAATTGGACATTCAGTAACTCAGTCATTCAATCAGTCAGTTAGTTTTTCCATTAGCCAATCTATTTATCAGTTGATCAAGTGATCAATCAGTCAGTCAATGGTTTAGTCAGCTCCACAATAAGTCAATCAGTCAGTCAATGGTTTAGTCAGCCCCACAATAAGTCAATCAGTCATTCAGTCAGTCAGTTAATCAAACAGCCAGTGGTTTATTAGGTCATGCAGTCACTAGCTAATCAGACAGTCAGTATGTCAACCAACCAATCAGTCAGTCCATCTTTCAGTTAGTCAGCCCCTTGGCCAGCTCAATGGCTAGCCAGCAAGCCTCTTGTCAAATCAGTATGTCAGTCATTCAATAAAATGATTAATCATCAATCAGTCAAAAGTTACAAGCAAGATGAAGTCAGTCATCAATCTTGTTTGTTTGTAAGTCAGTTAGTGCCACTGTTGTGACAATGTTCATGCTATGTAAAACATACAAAACATCCACAATCCTTGTCTTTGCAGTAATGAACAGTACTTAAGCAGTAGTAAAAATAGGGCTTGGAAAAATTCAGACCTGTACAGGATTTAAACCCAAGACCTTTGTGATAATGGTTCAGTGCTCTACCAGCTGAACTAACAAGCCAACTGAGAGCTGATCATTATGTCATGAACCAACATAATGACCAGCTCCTGGTTGGCTTGTTAGTTCAGTTGATGAGAGCACTAAACTGTTATCACAGAGGTCATGGGTCCACATCCTGTTCAGGCCTGAAATTTTTTCAGGCCCTATCGTCACTAAGTACTGCTTATAATAAATAGTGTTCATTACTGCGAAGATTGCTTCAAATTCATTTCTTAAACTGCAGTTCACATAAATTGAATATTTACAGTCATTTATCCACAATCCTCATCTTGTTGAGCTTCCAGAAAAAAAAAACAAACTTGGACAAAATTTGCAGCAGTCACATGTTATCTGCAATCTGCAGAATTTTAAAACTTTTCATTCTCTCAAATCAAATTTGTTACAAGGTTAGTCTACAGTATTTGTTAAATGTTGTGTCTTATTCATTTTTCTCTTAATTTATCAAGAACTAAGGCAGTTCATTACAGTTTTCTTACCTGAATTAGAAAGTACCACCATCAAAAACATTGCTGAATATTTCAGTCCACTTATTTCTTGAGTCTATACATTGTACTTGTTACCCCACCTGTGGACAAAAACAAAAATTACTTTCAATTAGTTTTTTTGTGAGGAGTCCTCACTGAGGAGTGAGGTGATGACCAGAGTTACATTATCTTACCAACAAAAAGATTCTATGTTGCTGTCCGTAAGTTCAGAAATAGATTGCAGATAACACCAAAATACTGTAAGAACAAAAAAGTTGAATAGAAGGTGCAGCCAAGTGGGTCAGATGTTCTAACCACAATTTGGTGTCTTTTGTGACTAAAACTAAACAGATCCACAGCAACATTAAACCCATTTGTTTCATATAATAAAGAAGTAAGAAATTGTTAATGGTGATATCATCTTTGCCTCTGTCCTCCAATAGACAATATGTAAGAACTAATCAAAATGCAAGCATAATTCAGCTTACATAATGTACAAGGAATGTTCATTACATGTGAAGGGACAATAGAAGCAGTGCTGCAGATGGTACATGATGCACCTATCCAGGACAGTGCTTGATCAAGTTAATATTGTAGTTATTACAAGTACTCCTGTAATACAATACAGCAATTTTCAAGTGAGGGTTGAAAGTGATCCAGGATTGATTTTTTTTTGCTTTTCTTTGCTCTGTGATTTGTCCAGAAAACTCGCATTACTCTATTAACCAATCATGACATTGGTCACCAACATATTCCAATACTTTAGGCAGTTTGCTTGTTTTTACTTTTAGTTTTCATTGGCCCTTAAAGGTATTTTCCTTACTTAAGATTGGCCATTGTAATTACTTTGGTATAAGTGTTATGACACCCAATCAAAAAGCACTCAATAAATATTAGGTTTAGTCAAATTTGAAAAATTAACATGCCAATCTTAACATTCATCAGGGATTCAATCAAGTCTTAATATTTGTGGAAAATTAACATTGTGTCTTTGAGGCAGGTGTATCAGTTTAGGTACAAACCAGACTATGTCTTTTTATGAGACTATGTCTCATTCAAGTTCTTCAGTATTCTATCAACATAGAAAAAATCTGTTGCTTAAGTCTCTTAGTTACATGTATATGTAGTCATTTTGTACCACTCAGCAAACTTGGATTATTTTTTCAGTTCTCACTGCTTATTTTAGCATATCTTATCCTTTGTTTAGCATGTCTTACACTTATTTTAGCATGTCTCATACTTATCAATGAAAAATTACATTAAAATGTTATTGTGTCACTCACAATTTCTCATCACAAGTACTCAACTTTTTTCTCAGGATAGTTACTGTAAAGGCTGTACCCACATGACCATGTATGTTGCTATAAAAACATTTTAGCCACAGGTGACATAATTTGGTCTCTCTAGGTTTTTGTCAACCTTTGCCATAATTATTCCTGTGAATTTTCAGGAAAAGGAAATAGAAACCATGCTATGTAAATGACCTTCAAAGTTTGTATGAGTTTGCAAGATTTTAAGAAGCCTAAGCCATGTCAGTGAAGAACATAAATAAGAGCATGACCTGCACAAAGTACTTGGGAGTCATACCTACCCTTGATACATCAACTTTTTCAGTAACTATCAAAACCAAATACTTCAACAGCTCATGCTATTAACAGGGTTTGTACCCTTTTTCAGAAACAATTTCAAGGACTTTGAATGATTTTTCCAGGACTCCAAATTTCACCTCAAACCCTTTCATTCCTAAGATTTCAAAATCAATTCTCCTTACGGTCTACATACATTTCTTATGACGTAAATTCTGACAAGTTTATTACTAGACTTAAGCAGATTTCCAGGATTTTCTAAGCGCTGTAGTCTTTTCCAGGACTTTCCAGTCCAGGAAAATGTCAAAATAAAATTTCAGGACTTTCCAGATTTTCCAGGACCCGAACGAACCCTGTATTAAGAGTAAGAAAAATTTCCTTCTCTCAACACCTTTAAATACTAGGAACTGTGCTTATAAAATAAAAATAAGACGTAATCCAGAAATAACTTGACATGATTTGCGTGTCAATCAGTCGTTTGGGCTTACTACTAGAGCTGACCTTTAACAGTTGATCTGATATCAAATCGCACGCGGTCTCCATTCCAGAATATTTCAGCCACTGTGAAGTCATTTTTTCCCCTCAAATAATTTCAAATAGGAACCCAAATTTTACTGAAAGGTAAGTGTGGTTAAAGGTTCCGTTTTTGCTCCGGTTTTAGTTTCAGGATGGGCAATTCATTCCATCATTTAACCAGGCTATCTACAGCTTCGCCGCCATTACTAGTTCTCAGTGTTTTTCGTCCGTCGAAGCAAATTCGTCACGCTGTACGCGTTACACGCGCGGTAGCACGCCACGCGTTTTGCAAGCAGCACAAAATTACCACACAGTAAGAGAGCAATTCGGTCCTCTAATTCAGCAATAAAGCTTTAAAACTAGTCGCATGTTCTTAAAAAAATAGGGTGGACTAGTGATTGACCAAAGTACACCCTTGTCAGGTCACAAAGGGAGCCCTACTTTGAGGGGGTCTATGCAAAAACCTAATAATAATAATTGATAAAGATACAATAAAACTTAAGAAGAAGCTAAAAAGATGGAGAAAACTTAGCAAGGATGTTTGTAGAAGGTTAACGCGAAATACCTTTTACCTATCGCTTCCCAATCACAGTTCCCAATGTCTTTATGGGTTTGCCTCGGCCTAGAAAAGAGACTGGGTGTGATATTACTTTAAGTACAACCATTTTGAAATCACTGGTGGTCCCTGTAATCTGATTGGCTCTAATAAATGCGATTTATTCGCAAATCGCACCATTTTTTGCTTTAAATCGCATCTTCTTTTAAAGTAACCGATCAAATTGCAGGAAAATGAAAGATAAAGAGTACCATGTGGCAAATTATGAAACTTTTGTTTCCAAAGCTCTTACTTTTTCCCCCCCCAAAAATGGATGAATTTAATTTCAGACCGGCTCAGTACTGCATCAATGAAATATTCGAAGTGACCAAGTCCTGTATTTGGGCGATTTCAAAATGGATGTAATAAAGTGGTAATCGAACCTCGCGTCGTGCAATTTTGGTCTGAAATCATATCACGCGTATGATTTGAGCCCAAATTGCAATCCACTCAGTTCAATTACATCATTTGACTATAACTGTACCGCTAAATTTTTTTGCAGTGAAGGAGTAATTGTCCGCATCCTCAACCTCTGTAAACGGTGGTGTAAACGTTTATTTGTCGTGTTTCTTTCACTTAGATGATACCTGCTGTAACTATGCCCAACAGCTTCATCCGTTATCTGCTCTGGAATCACTATATTCCCTTTTTTCAATGGTTTTGAAGGCTTTTTCAATGGTTTTAGGGCTTCCCGCGCCGAAGTGCTCAAATATCCTGCATAAGATGCGTTGCCAGTTCTATTTGGATCTTCGATATCATTCTGATCCTTTATTCATCCGGAATTTACTCATGTCCATCACAGATCTAGGTGAATCGGTAGTAGATATTTGTTCCTCAACTGTTTCGATGAGAATAACATTCACTTCAATAAGCGGTTCATATGAATAAAGATCATTTCAGCGATTCATACAGTCATTACTAGTATTTCATTGATTCAATTTAGTCTGTTGAGCAGTGACTATTTATTATACGTTTAGGATTTATCTCAAGAAATAATTGAGCGAAAAAATGAGGTATAATAATAGTCCTTTCCGACCTCTACTTTTACTAACAATAGCGTCTCTGAAAAACGATTCTCTTAATTTTTAAGAAACCTGCGTTTTTCTTTGTTCAGTGTCTTACAGAATTACCCAATTAAATCGATACGTCAGACTGGGCTCATTTTAAGGGTTTTTAAATATGCAAAATGAAAAATACCGCGCAATTAAACCGATGAAGCAAACTATTTGAGGTCTCATTAGTTTCGCATTTCGTAGCTTTTGAACCAATCGTATCACTGTTATTACTTTTCAAACTTTTGCGGTCTGCTTACTTTCAATTGTTTGGTTCAAAGTAACAAAATATCATTTTTGTGAAATAAATTCTTAATGAATCCATTTCGCTTGTCGAAAGTTTGTCAAAGTAGTTAATTCGCTGTGGATCTTAGAGTTTTCTTCAAGAATAAGTTATTGGAAAGGAAGATGTCTGCCAGATCATTGTATCAACTGGCATTCTGCTTGATAATAAGCGCTCAAGGTAAGATGTTGATTTATTTTGCTTGTCCGGCAAAATTCGTCCTACTTGTTCAAAACCGAGGAAGCTTTTAGAAAAGTCTCTGAAAACTCAATGAAAGTCTACCTATAACTAATATATTACTGTTGAGTAAGGCTGTGAATTTACTGAGGGTTGTATCAAAGGAGATGGTACTTCAGATGTGTCAAGGTAACTTGGTATCAAGAACAAGCCTTTTTCCGGATGAATGAACGTTACCTTCCGCACATTGCGTCGTTGTAGGTTGAAGAAATGCCGAACTTATGCATTCACTCTTTTCATCACAGAACGTGCCAATTTATTTTGAAAATCTCTGTGTCATTCGAAGATTGAACATTGTCTAAAAACGGTTGATGAAGCTAAGAAAAACGTTCCATGGAAACCATGTCTAAAACAAAATCTATCGAGAGAAGATGATAGGGCTCTAAAGCCGACTGAGCTTAATTAATTGCTTATACACCGAGCCAACACGTCACTGACGCATTTTCCGCACTGGAGTTTAATTTGCCCCGTTCCTTGAAGCAGTTCTTCGAATATTGCAACAGTAAAATCCAAAACTCTTTTCCGAAACTTTTTGTCCGTATCTTAATCATTTGGAAAGGAGTGATGGGGTTGCCGACAAAAATCTCGTTAATAAGTTTTAGTTCACACTTCATCACAAAAACTTCCTGCTGTTAAACTGATCGGGTCACTTAATACAAGTAGTGCAAAAAGAGTGAAGTTTAACTACACTGGAGCGTTATATTCTATCACTTTCTTTGCAGTGCACACATCACAGGCTGCAGGTCCTGATTTAATCATGACGACAGATTTTGTGAACGTGACGGGGGAAATGAACCATGGGTAAGTTCTTGTCGGATTTAATCAAGACAATTCGATATGTACTCTTATGACGTTAGACGATAACTTCCTCTTGATGGACATCTGTCATATGGCGGCTCTCACGCTGGCTGCCAATGAAACATAGCCTGCTCTTATTTTCCCGCAATGAAATAAAACTCGGCGAGGCTTTTTTTATGAAATGTATTCCATACATAACTTTTTTCGTTGACTGGTTTGACTCCGTCATTTTATTTCTAATAATTTGAAATTCTGACAAACATTGAAAAAAAAAAAAGAGAAAAACTGATGGATAATTTTCGAAGAGGAAAATAAATGCTTGATTGTCATCCACTTGAAGTTTTTTTGAAGGGTTAGGAAATGACTAACCTGAAAATAAACTTTGTGTAAGAGACCATTAGTTGTTCATGATCTCTCTGTCCAATTATATACACAGACCATGTAAATAGTCAACTAAATAAGAGAGGAAATTGTTTATGCAATGATTATTCGTTTTTGTTGCTATAGCGACCATTTTGGATATGTTACCACCCTTAAACACACAAAAGACTCATCAGCCGACGCCAAAGGTATTCACGTGACCTGGATGCTGGCTTCTTACATCAAGTACCGTCATTTGGTAGACATTTCTCTTGGTATAAATCCTCCGCAAGTCACACAAAAAGACGATAGTGTTACCTTGAAGGTAATGAAGCACACTTTCAAATCTTCTAGAGGATTTATTTTTTTGTGCAAATGTAAATGTCAAGTGTGAAGGGATTCATAGTACAGAAGGTTTTTTGTAGGTAGGTTCAAATTATTTTTTGTTGTGCATATAATAACGAACAGTCAAGTGAATCATTATAGGTTCAAGTTATCGCAGCATGGGACGAAATCATTGAAATGACTGAAAACTACAGAGAAAACTTTTATCTATCGGACTTTCCTTGATCAAAAAATAAGTATTATTCAGGTTCATTATGAAGAAAGGTATGAAAACATGAGGTACTTTGCTAACAAAGGAAACTAAAGACCTAAAAGGTACTTTGTTGAAAAGTCAGTGGTAATTAGTAAGAGTGACATAAAGGTAAAAAGAGACTTCGCGTTAACGAGATTTTCGACAGTTATCGAGGGCTCGAATCCCTATCGAAGAAACTGCAGAAAATATTTAACGGAAATCCAAGGAAAACTAACATTTGTGATCCAACTTAGCGTGGGGTTCGAGCTACAAGCGAGTCGACAATAGTAACACATGTAAGTGAAGTTATTTAGATTAAACCAGGAATTTATAATCTCTTGGATTAAACAGGTTCAGTTAATTTAAGTTAATTTGTCGCCAAATGAAAAATTTAGGTATTCGACGAGATGAATAATAAAACGTTACAGTTAGAACCGCTTGAAATGCTTTTTTTTTTTTGGTCTTCTTACTGCGATTTTTTTTCTATTCTATAAATTCCCTTTTCGTGACAACGGAATTAAAAAAGTATCTGACACAATCTGCCACTGTAAACATCATACGAGACACTTCCACCATCTGAAGGTCTTTTTCACAGGTAGAAAGAATTGAAGCTTCTATCGAACGCCATTCAATTTTTTTCATGCGATAATTGAATTATTTTTTTTAATTCGGCGTACATGAGCTGTAGTTTTGGTGTCCCATCATGGCAATTAGTCTGATTTAAGTCTGATGGGTTGCTCTTACATCTCCTATTTTAAGATCGACTCTCTTAGCTGGGGTTGGGAAGCCACAGTCTCCTTCAAAGTTCAGTTTGACCCAGAGATGATCCTAAAGCCGAAATATTATGACATTGTGACGCCAGTTCAACTTCTCTACTACGATGACTACCAAGAGAATAACGGTGTAGTTACCAAGAAGAACGTGCACAACCACCCTCTCGGTAAAGTTACCTTTGGCGTCGAACTGTCAGGTAAGAGTCAGTCACCAGGAGGTGGGTGTCGGACTTTGTGGGGGATTATATGGTTTTCAGGGTGAACGGAGGAGGGATCAGTCCTTGCTATCCTCCGACCCTCCCTGCCCCTTCCCCCCCTGAATTAATGACCGGTCGATAAGTAAGATACAGTCAGAGTCGAATGCGTGACAGCATATACGGTGCATTACCGCAGCGCGATAAGACATGCCAAATACTTCATGTTGAGTCAACTTATAGTCTCCTTTACATCTAACAGCTTACATAGGCTCCTCAGTCTCTCTTTGGTGTTTACTACAGGAAGCTAATTGTAAGTTTTACATTCAGTAGT